AAGGAAGAGGAGGATTTCTGAACACACCATGGATCCTCAATCCACCTTATGCTTGGACAATTTGGAGCCTTTCTCCAGATGTGAACCCATTTACTACTCTTGTTGTTAGCAATCATTATAGCACTTCATTGTCTCTTGGTCTGATCATATGATTAAAGTGTTATACTGATCCCCTGTATAATTATCATTGGTAGTCGGTTGGTCGCGTCAAGTGTGGGCGAACAATAACACACACAGCAGCCCACACTCAAAACACAACACATAGTCACACGGTCTTCAAAGGGAATCAGTGGAATGCAGAAAGAAGGCTATATAGCTGATGGTGGATACAACGCATCCAGAGACCTTCCTCCATTCTCCTAACCTAGTTTCTCTGAGACAGCCAAATCCAAATTCTTTGGGTTTATCTTTAAACACCTTGGACACCTTTTCACATTTGACATTAATCTCTTCCCTAGGCCTGCTCTCATCCTTTCTCTGTCTTTTTTGTCTAACTTCTTTCTACATACTCCACCCTCATCTCTTCACTATCTGCTGCTCATACATTAGGTTACCCACACCCATGATCAACCATTCATTACCGTAATAAGAGGGTACCTTCACCTATCTATCCGTAATCATGTTCTTTCGTCAGGCTCATTCCAAAGGAGTGTTCACTATTTCCTTCCCTGTCTTGATGCTACATCAAAATATAACAAACTACACAAATTTGGTCAGCATTAAAGTCCTCGTCATCCCCATATCACGTGGACGTAAATCCGTTGTCCTTTTCTTCCGCTCTTATGTTTTTTCCACGGCCTGGGATCTCCTACATTAGGATTCATACAGCACTACCACCATATGTTCCCAGCCCAATTCCAGATCTACACATGAACATCAACTTACCATACTCGCTTAATCTCGATCAGCCTCTTCACCTTACATGTAAACCTTTACACCCATTTTAATTTAGGACCAGGTACGTAATCAGGCAAATTCGGAATCAAAGAACTATGGGAACAGCTAGAACATCTGGAGGTTTTTGCTACACATTGGTACCTTAATTCTTTATATGCTAATAGTATAACATTCACCTTCACCAGAATATGTTGTCTTTTCTTCTGTTTATTACTAGAGAGAAGGAGTCAATAATCCCATT